ATCATTTCATCATACGGCCCGAAAACAAATTCATATTACTGCACACCACTGCAATTGACCTAATCTGAGGAAACAATCGGTTGCACCCTGTCACTCCAGTGGATGTAAAACTGATTCTATGGTGAAAAAAGGAAATTAAATCGGTTGTTTCAATTAATTAGCACAATGGTATAACTGGAAACGTTAAATCTTTTTTCTTTAAAATGACGTTTTTACAAGGAAGTACGATAGAACTAAATTAGGTTCGAATTGAAGAAAGAAAGTTATTTTTAAAAATCCTTTTCAAACCCAGAACTGGACAATGAAAGGAGAGAATTCGATAAACAAAAATAATAGCTAGTAATCATATTTTACTATTGTTCCTCAAATTCAAAGGCCAAGAGACACGTTCGTAAAGGTGTATTCCTGCACACCACTGCAAATGACCTAAGAAGAAATATAAATCGATCACTCCAGTGGGTATAAAACTGACCGTATGGTGAAAGAAAGCAAACTCAAGTGATTGTTGGAGAAGGTACTTTTCTGATTTATTTTGCTTCTGATGTAGACTTGATCCAATTGAATTTGAGTTGTCATCATCGTTGTTATAGGAGAGTTTAATGAAATTTTCTCGTTCAGTTTTATTGTCACAGAATGCAGTTAATAATTCTCTTCCTAGCCATTTTTACATTTTTTTAATTTTTTGTTTCTGCAACAAGTTTGTGAGCGGAGTCAAGACTGTAAAACAACCTGGAATAAATATACGGTAATAATTAATCAAACAGACGTCTCTTCGTAACTGTTGCAGTGATGTTGGTTGTGGAATTTGTTGTATTCCTGCTACTTTCGTTGGCACAAGCCTGATCCTGTGCTCGTCGATCACATGACCCAAGAAGTTCAATTTAGAAACAGCAAACACATTTATTTACGTTCTCTAAAGCAAAATGTGCTCTTAAAATTTTGTTGTATAAGATCCTCGTATTCTTTGCTATCACGACTAGCAATACGAATCTCATCGATATACGCAAAACCGAAACGTAATCCTCTCGAAAATTTGTCAATAAGTCTGAAAACTTTGCGCGGAGTTATTTAAAAAAATGACATCTGTCTGAACTCATTAAATCCGAAAGAAGTGGTTATTTGCCATTTTCTTTATGTCGTCTTCTACTATTGGAATTTGGTATTATGCTTTAACCACGCCCAGTTCTATGAAAACTGCAGTTCCCTGTAAATACGTGATAAAAGTTTGGTATTGGATATCTATCTGAAACTGTTTTCGCGTTGAGACTCCAGAAATCCTCACAAGGTCGCCATGCATTTGTATCTGATTATGAGACGCGTAGTAGAGAGCAATATGGGCGACTTAAAGGGCGTATGATACCTAACTGCAAAATGTGTTGACAATTATCTTTTGCTATTTTGTGTTTTTCTGGACGTAATCTGCGTGGGGTTGCTTGTGTAGGGGGTGCAGTTGTTGCGATGTAATGTTAGCAGTGTGACGAATTTCGTCTGAGTGTTATAAAGGTGTGGTAATTAATAGTAAAAAAATTTCCTATCAACTTCTGTAATCCATTAACTGTTGGTACGGCAGAACTAGTTCCTGTTGGCGTGTAGATTCAGATGATTCTCTTGGCCGTTAGCTTTGAGTCACTGTCGATGAGAGAGTGTGAAGCCATATTCACTATGAGATTCATTGGCTTCAACCACAAATCCATAACATTTCGGAATTCTCTGCAATTCTTGATGTTATTGTTTAAGTTGGTGAATGCTCTCATAATCCTTTCCTTCAGTTCATCTTTGGTGTTACGAGGAGTTTTGTTTGTCGCTTGCTCAACTGCACCCCTTGTAATAATACAAGGGGTTGCAGTCTGGGGAGTTAGGTGGCCAGATATCAAGGGTGTCTGACATGGTACGACGTCATGTTGCCAGACTTAGGTTCATACAGCAGGCACCTCTTTGAACCAGGACAACACTACATGGTGTTCTTTTTATCATAGATGGTGCCCAACTGACTCTACTATATTGTGCAGAAACAAAGAATGCACATGCGCAAAATCAATAATTTATCCATCGCACCTTATATATATATACACACAACCGTCAATAATAGCACATTCTCAAAAAAAAACAAACATCTTTCGGTCTACAAACAATTATTTCGTCTCCAAGTTTTTGATTTTATAAGGAAAAGATGATATGCCTGACGATGAATAAAGAAATATTCGAAAGTACTTGCATTTTAAAAACATATCAACTGGAAACAACAGACAACAGTTTTATAAAGGAGGATCACATCACTCTATGGATTAACAGTATTTTAATGCATACATTATACACTACTAGCGATGGATGTCGTCAATAATAGCATTAATATTGCTGATTGATTCTATGCGTGATTATTCCTTTGTATATAAGTTATATGCTGCCTAATGTTGTATGTTTCTATATATATATATATATATATATATATATATATATGTATATATATATGTGTGTTTGTTTCTTTTATTGAATATAGAGGACCAAGTCTATTAAAGGTCTACTTGCCTGGCCACTACTGGGGATTCATTTTTTTTATAATGTTCTTTCGAGCGAATTATGTTCGTAATTGTTGTATTGCTCTTTTGGATAAGATATACTAACATTATTGTTATTGTCTTCGTATCATTATTAGCTACTGTTTAAGAGATAGTTTTATTTTTTGTCAGTATATATTTTGGAAGGTCAGAGTTAACTAGCATTTGCTTGCTGCACCTATGTTGCTTTGTTTAGAAGTATATCCTAAGTGATGAGTCATCTAATGCCAACATTTAATTTTCATGGGAGCAGTAATGATTTCTTTTACAAAATTATATTGCTGGTATTTTTGCTATAAACATTTATTTTTATACTGTCATAGTGTTTTGACACCAGTTTGAAAGTTAACTATTTGCCCCTAGTTAGGACCCTAACAGGTGCTACCAGCCCTATTCAGGATTGACCTGGGAACAACAGCAATTAATAGGTACCAAGCTGGCAGTTTATAGTCATACCCTAGATGAATTATGTTCTTTAGGGAAGAGCCTGCGCAAGGCTAAAACAACGTGATCTCGTTCTCTAATCTCGTGTCTCTAATTTGTATGTTTTGTAATGCGTCAGACGTTCAAAATACAAGTAATAGCAGTAATACTTCAATGTAAAATAATAAAGTATTTAATTACAAACCACAATTAAACAGAAAGTACTAATTTGTCTTGAAACACGTGACACTCGACTTTAACGCCCGGGTTAACACAATAGTCAAACACGAATTTCTACCCACCCCAGTAAGTCGCATGATATCTCTATTTCTAGTAAATGGCAGTCTACATTTTCATTGTCCAGAGATTCACGTTTTCCTTGGCGACGTGGTAGCGTTAGGTAGCTTATTCGCTGCTTTTCTCTATCCTGTTAGTGTCAAATACTCCAAGTCCCTTTTCTTCATTATGCATGAGGATAAGACATTTTTTTAATTATTATTACTATTTTTACATCATTTCACTGCAAACAAGGCAATAAGGCCACGAAGGCGCAAGGAGCCATTGAATGTGAGAAAATAGGAGATAAAGAAAGCATTACTAAGGAGAGAGAACAATAAAAGTATAGGGATTATGAAAACAAAAGATAACGATTAATATTGCATTTACAGTTTTAAAGTTCAAAGTTGACTGGAGAGCAAGAAGAAGTAAGATATTTCCACGAGTGATATGTACAAGAGTACGGTTAGCATAGAACTTACGGTAGCAACTAGCAATTTAAATCCGTAAAGAATGCGACCTAACTGCCAATCTAGTACTGCGCTTAAACCCGTAAGTTCGAAATACCAAAGAGGAAAGCTCATCAGAACAATTTAAGTACTGCTCTTAAATTTATCAATCTAGATACCAATTAACAATATGCACCAGAAAGAATATACATCATGAAATTATTTATAGAAACGGCACAGAGAAGCTATGGTACGGCGGTGGGAAAGGGATTGAAGGTGATATGCCAGGTCAGGACTAATAGCATTGCATATACTTCTTTATATTTCATATTTGTATTACTGCTAATTTGTAATATTCTTTTTCAGTAAAACCTTGCTTTTTATTGACTTTTGCTTGGGGTTAATATCATAATTGAAATATCAGGAGTTTTTATTTGCCTTTTTTTCTATAGCAAAGCAGTGAATGTATATTTACTGGATTCCCCGATATTGTCGAGCAATTGGATACTTTGTGTTTCCTAAGTTTATGAGTTTATTTTAAAACATTTAGAATTTCTTGTGGTTTATTGAAACTTTATTTTAAGTAAGTGACATATATATAATAATTGAAAAAGATTGGTCCAAGAGAACTACCCATGCTGGCTCCAATTACTTTCAGTAGAGTGACGTTACCATTGTTTGGGTAAATATGAATTTCGTCTGCATACATGTAGTAAATTTTTGAGACGATGAAGTTTAATATGTGGGGGCGGAATTAAATTATGTTTATAGAGGCAGTTGCAAAATACTAATAATTATTCCCTCTACTGTAAATTTTGTGGATAGGTTATCTAAAACCTATACAGATTTACCAAGCGTAGCTTAGATGCGGCACAAGGCCGAAAGTATGGGGCACCCGGTGAGGATCGAACTCACTTTTCAGGAGTAACTGATCTAGCAAGCCAAGCTTGCTAACCATTACACCACGCCGAAATCTACAACCTACCTATATATATATATATATATATATATATACATATATGTGGAAATAGATTAGGATATTTTTCACGATTGCTGAAGTGCTACAAGATAGATAGTGTGATTATATATATATATATATATATATATATATATATATATATATATATATAGAGAGAGAGAGAGAGAGAGAGAGATAGATAGATAGATAGATAGATAGATAGATAGATAGATAGATATGAACATACTGAGATAAATATGAATACACACACACACACACATATATATATATATATATATATAAATATATAGATAGATAGATATGAAGAGAAATATCTACATGAATAGATAGATCTATAAACATATTGAAATGAAGAGAGATAGAAAAACAGATAGATAGATATGAACAGACATAGATAGATAGATAGATAGATAGATAGATAGATAGATATCATGTGATAAAAAAGAGACAGACTAATGAATATATTGTCAACAATCAGGAGATCTGATTAGGTGAAGAATACACAATACTGCACAACGCGTTGTCTGTCCGCGAAGTATCCAGCCACATTTGTATATTTCAAGAAATGCTACGGCGGTGTTCCTGTAACTTGCTATTGGATCATACTTTACATGCGCGACCAGACACTCCCTCGAGGGAATCTTGGACACATTCTCTGCGGCAACTCGACTTCGACTGATGAAGAGGGTTATTTTTTTTCCCAGTAATCGATGCCCAGATATCTTCAGACTTGGTCAGGAAACTTTAGAAATCGATTCACATTGTGGAAGGCCTTCAAGACGTAGAACGCGCGGAATTATTGTCAGTGAAAGATTCCAATGAAAGAGTGAAAAGTAATTGTCTTCAGGCCCCGTATAGAACTATTATTATTATTATTATTAATTTTGATTTTTGTTATATACTCATTTCTTCCAGGTTCCAACCAGAAATCTAAGTTCAGATCACATTTTCACTGGGTATTCTTGTAAAAAAAATTTAACCTAAGATATATATATATATATATATATATATATATATATATATATATATATATATATAAAAAGAAATATAGGTTTAAGGTGTGCTATATTTATGGGATAAAGTGCTCAATATCAGAGATAGAGCGTGTGTAAATATAAAAGTGAACATAGAAGTCAACACTTAGAGACGACAGTCTGTTTCATGCTATATGGCCTGACGATTGTATATAGCATGAAACAGACTGTCGCCTCTAATGTTATATGTTCACTTTTATATATATATATATATATATATATATATATATATAAGGACAAGGAAACATGCACAGCACTTACACCTACAAACATTACACCTGCTCGTTTCTATATCCTTCCTAAAATACACAAAAGCAACAACCCAGGAAGGCCGGTTATTTCATCGTTCAAGTGCCACACAAAAATTTCCAAATACATAGACCATTACATGCAACCGCTAGCTAAGGGAGTAAAATCCTACATCAGAGACACAACAGATCTACTGGACAAAATTAATCACATACAAACAGTTCCAGAGAATGCTATTCTAGTGACTATGGACGTAAGGTCACTCTATTCAAACATTAAACACATTGAAGGGCTAACTGCCCTGCAGGAAGCACTTACTAAAAGAAGAAAACAAGCCCCCCTACAGAAGTCATCATAAAACTCATGGAGTATGTCTTTACTTTGAATACTTTTAACTTCAATGGAGCACACTACCTTCAAATAAGAGGTTGTGCCATGGGCACCATTGCAGCTCCATCATATGCTACAATATTCATGGGAAAATTTGAGGAGACCCATATCTATCCAATCATTGGTAGCGACTGCGTATTCTATGCAAGATATATCGATGATATATTCTTTGTATACACGGGTAGTGATGACAAACTTACCCAATTCCTCATGACCCTAAACACAGTGCACGACTCAATTAAGTTTGACTATGAAAAATCCACAACATCAGTAACATTTTTAGATACCTGCATTTACATAGATGAAAACAGGAAACTACAAACGACACTACACACTAAAATCACCGACACCCACAACTATCTACACTTTAAGTCTTCCCACCCTAAACACCTCAAAGAAACTTCCCTATTCACAAGACTCAGAAGGATATGTTCCAACAATGAAGAATTAAATAAACACATTGAAAATCTGGAGCATCAATTCACAACACGTGGCTATAAACAACACCTAATCAGGGAACAAATAAATAAAGCAATTTCCACACCTAGAGAAGACACCCTAATGTACAAGATTAAAAATAAATCTAGCCGCATCCCTCTAGTAACCACTTTCAATCCCACTCTGCCTCCACTATCCCAAATAATCAAAAGTCGCTGGGAAATACTACATCTCAAACCAGACCTAAAAAAATTGTTTAAGGAACCCGGCCTTCTTGCATATCGTAGACTAAGAACCTAAAAGAAATCATAGGTAGTAACCACATTTCAGGGGACAAGGTAATCCGTAATAAACTGAGAACAAAAACAACAGGATTTTCCCAACCATGTAACAACAAAAGAAGTTTATGTTGCAACCATATTAAACACACGAATTCATTCACTAGCTCAATCATTAAATCTACTTTCAAAATCTACCACGATTCTAACTGTAGAATTCATAACATAATTTACCTCCTAGAATGCACACTATGCCAGAAACAATATGTAGGAAAATCTGAATGGCCCTTTCACTACAGAATTAATAATTATCGCAATCGAATTAAGTCAACTCCCCATGAAAGATTATTACCTGTAGAACAACATTTCAGCCTGGAAAAACACGATTTCAAAACCCATGCCAAATTCACTATAATTGAGAGAATAGAAAAGTTCAGAGCAGATAACATTAGAAAGATTTTAGAGTTCCATGAAAATAAGTGGATACAACGTTTAAAAGCACAATATCCAGCCGGGCTAAACCATTAATTTAACAATATAGATAGTATTAATATATAACCCTACAAATCAAAACCTACCCACATTTCTCACCCACACAAGACAGACATGCTTACGGAGGTGTGGAGGCCTCACACTTATAAACACATCCACATGAACATACACACTTACACACATCATACTCACTCACTCCCTAATGAGCCAAATGATAACACACACCCACAGCAATACACACGCTTACACATATCATACTCACTCACTCCCTAAGAACCAAATAACACGCACACACAAACACTAAAAAGAGACACATCACCTCTCCAGGACCAATAAAACTGTCAAAATGACCACGGGAATTCAGAGTAGCATAGATCCATTTAGCTCTTATCTCAAATAACAACTTAAAATAGACTGTTTGACCAACACAAGGAATGTTAAAAAAATCATGTTAAAAAGATAAAAAAAAATAAAAAAAACAAATGAAAACTACAGACAAAAGTTCATTTTCTCCATCAAGACATTCATTTCTGTAGTTTACTGCTACCAGCAAGCAGAAATGGAATCTAAATGAAATAATAATAAAAAAACGAAAGAATATTAATCTACAACTCAGTGTGTCTGAAGATTTTAATTTTTTAATATTTTTTTATTGTTCAATATATATATATATATATATATATATATATATATATATATTACATTGATAAAGCCCTTCGTAAGTTGTGAGCTGTACTTGTGAGTACAATTTTTTGTATTTCTTTAAGTCATCGGCTACCAGGAATCCCTTCAATGTGTCTATCAGAACCTTTTCCAGTCAAAACGAAGGTTCCATCTTCAATTGGAATTATTTATGTACCCATGTGTCATATATTTAGATTTGCACTACAAGATCCTTGTATTTTGATAGCTTTTTGACGTTCTTCAAAGATACATTACAATCTGCAATGGATTCCATGGTACTAAGAAAGCACATGCAGTTCTCGTGGTTTTAATCCCGATGTCTGGGCGATTAGATTTGATTATTCTGTCTATGTGTATTTTAAAGTCCCATAAAATTGTTACAGTTCCTATCTCTGTAACCGTGTCTGCGTGGTGGTCATATCAGTTTTTTTGCAGTTTCCTTTCCGTAAAAATTGAAGATTTGCCAGTGCAGATACTGTCCCACACTGTCACGCCGGGTTTTATATTCAGTGGGTGCCAATACCGTGAAACCTCATACAAGATGGTTAAGTGTTTCTGGATATTTAGCAGAGAATCTGCATTTTGGATTAACATTTTTTCAGTATATGTCCTTTCTAGTTAGCAAGAATTAGTCTAATACAGCAAGAATAAAAACAAGTTTCAACTTTTTAACCATTCAATTCCTAAACACTGATGGATACAGGATTTTCAACATCAGCTTGTTTGGTACGTGCACAGTATTGACCATGAAGAGGCTTCTTCTTCTTCTTTATTCCATATTTCTCCTCTCTCCATCTCTCATAGTCCCACTACTTCTTCTTCTTCTTCTTCTTTATTCCATATTTCTCCTCTCTCCATCTCTCAGTCCCTACTTCTTCTTCTTCTTTATTCCATATTTCTCCTCTCCCATCTCTCCTAGTCCCACTACTTCTTCTTCTTCTTCTTTATTCCATATTTCTCCTCTCTCCATCTCTCATAGTCCCACTACTTCTTCTTCTTCTTCTTTATTCCATATTTCTCTCTCCATCTCTCATAGTCCCTACTTCTTCTTCTTCTTCTTCTTCTTCTTCTTCTTCTTTTTCCATTTTCTCCTCTCTCCATCTCTCATAGTCCCACTACTTTTCTTCTTTTCTTCTTCTTCTTCTTCTTCTTCTTCTTCTTCTTCTTCTTCTTTATTCCATATTTCTCCTCTCCATCTCTCCTTGGTCCTACTACTTCTTCTTCTTCTTCTTTATTCCATATTTCTCCTCTCTCCATCTCTCATAGTCCCACTACTTCTTCTTCTTCTTCTTTATTCCATGTTCTCCTCTCTCCATCTCTCATAGTCCCACTACTTCTTCTTCTTCTTCTTTATTCCATATTTCTCCTCTCTCCATCTCTCATAGTCCCACTACTTCTTCTTCTTCTTCTTTATTCCATATTTCTCCTCTCTCCATCTCTCATAGTCCCACTACTTCTTCTTCTTCTTCTTCTTCTTCTTCTTCTTCTTCTTCTTTATTCCATATTTCTCCTCTCTCCATCTCTCATAGTCCCACTACTTCTTCTTCTTCTTCTTCTTCTTCTTCTTCTTCTTCTTCTTCTTCTTCTTTATTCCATATTTCTCCTCTCTCCATCTCTCATAGTCCCACTACTTCTTCTTCTTCTTCTTTATTCCATATTTCTCCTCTCTCCATCTCTCATAGTCCCACTACTTCTTCTTCTTCTTCTTTATTCCATGTTTCTCCTCTCTCCATCTCTCATAGTGCCACTTCTTCTTCTTCTTCTTCTTCTTCTTCTTCTTCTTCTTCTTCTTCTTCTTATTCCATATTTCTCCTCTCTCCATCTCTCATAGTCCCACTACTTCTTCTTCTTCTTCTTCTTTATTCCAT